TGTTACTTTAATTTTACCAGAAAAATGGTAAAGGAAAAAACATTTCTTTTGATCAAATCTACTCACTGTTAAAATAAATGACTCAACTTCAAAGTCACGCTGTATACTGTACTGACTGTTGCTGATAAGCAAATGGCACCGTTGATCATGGTTAAACAGATGTAAATCAACAGAGCTATAGTTCGTTCTGGTGATTCGATCTCATGGTTTCGATTCCGGCCTCTAAATTGATTTCATCAATTCGATCGTCCGAGTATGTAAAAGCACATCGATAAAGACCCTACGAAAGCTTTCGACACAGTTAATCACAAATTATTATTAGAAGCATTGGAGAGAATTGGTTTCAGAGGAAACGCGTACTCACTGATCGAAAATTATTTGTCAAATCGCCCACAATCTGTGCAGATATCAGGATCATTTAGTAAAGAAATGTATATTAAGTGTGGTGTCCCACAAGGAACTGTCTTAGGTCCGCTGTTATTCAATATATATTTAAATGATATTTTCCAAATTAATTGTGTTGGCAAAATAACTAGTTTTGCAGATGATACTGCAATATTATATGAAGGCACTGGCTGGTCTGATCTGAAAAATGTAATTGAAAATGATTTTATCAAAATTATTCGGTGGTTTAACAGTAGAAAATTAAGCATTAACTACTCTAAAACACATTTTTTACCATTTGGATCTTATGCTAGACATCTGCCAAATTACACAAATTTCTCCTTCAATATTAATGATCAAAAAATGCAAATTAATAGAGTGCCCAACATAAAATACCTTGGAGTGGTCTTGGATCCTCACTTACGATGGGACATCCATGTCAATTATATTTTAAAGAAAGTTAGATTTGTATCCTACAAAATTAAATACCTTGGGAATATATTGACAGAAAAGATCTTCGAACATTATACCATGCACTGATTGAGCCTCATCTCACATATGGTATATTAGCATGGGGAGCTGCATGTTCCTCACATATCTATAATTTAGATGTTTTTCAAAAAAGTATTCTAAAAATGATATTTAAAAAACCGAAACTTTATCCCACTGAAAAATTATACGCAGATGTTCGAATGTATGATATAAGACAGCTTTATTTCTTACACAGTATCACTCACTACCATAAATTTGTAAACACCGACCAAAAAATTAAACATAATCATTATACCAGGTACAAAATTCGTGGCACAGTAGTTCCTCAACCGCATAAATCTATAATGCAGCGATCATATCTCTATTTAGCGCCTAAATTTTATGAAATTATACCTAAAGACTTAAAAGATTTACGTTTCGGAAATTTTTTCAAAAGAAATTTAAAAAAGTGGCTACATTCTATATCTAGGACTGAAATTCATAAACTCATTAATACGAACATAAACTAAATACATAATCTACTGTAGCTAATTTTTGTCCTTTTTTGTCATTTGCATTCTACAGTTTCAACTTAGATTTATTGGTCCATGTACAGGCGATGCCTTCTATTGGGCCTGTTTTGATTTTATATTTATTTACTCATATTGTTTGTCATCTTTGTACATTGAGTGAATAAATATTATAAAAAAAAAATAGTGCCCAGGGAAATAAATATACGCAACACTGTGTATTGCTTGGAGCATGCCTTATGTTCAGGATATTTTTTACATTTTACTGAGCAGATTTTACCGTTTTGCTTAAGCTTGACGTGACCTATGGCATTATCACCGTACGATTACATTGCAAATGTAAGAAGAAATACAATATAAGTTAAGAGAGTATCACGCGTGAGCTTAGTTTTAAATGGCTTCTGAGCAGGAAGACTATGTAAGTGTATAACTTATTCTTTCTCTTTTATGTCTATAGAAGCCTTGATGTTCCTCAGCCCAGTAGAGCAGACATCTAAATCAATAAAAGCTGTGCCTTCTGGTTTTTCACCAACCAACGTTCATGAGTGTCTTTCAATAAAACGACAACATTTTCTGTTGATCAGGAGTTTTTGTACAGATATTCAAAGAAAACAACGTTAGTCCATGAGTGACATACGGGTGATGTCTCTTTGCTCACAATTTGTATGACGTCACATCATGGCCGATAGTGTCTCCCTTTTGCGGCATCGTTCCTTTGGAACGACTCGTTCACAACCGACCCAGCTCTAAACAGATCCAGTTCAGCAAATGCTGCCTTGTTAACTTGTTTAGGCCCAATTTCATCAACAACAGTCTATTATTATAGTACCGTCAGATACAGCGAATGAGCTTCAAGTTCCAATCAACAAATTTTAGCAACCAATAGCTATGAAATATTGAAAATAAAATACTGTCAAAGTATGAGATGACAACTTGTCATTGAAACATTACCAGCTTATTGAATATTAAGAAATTACATTCAGTCAAAATTTTAAGAAATGTTTGATTTTTGAAGTAAATTCATGTTTTAATTACTATTGTTGATTTTTTATTCATGTTTATATTATTTTCTTCAATTGATATGTGATACTGGGTGTTTTTTCCTATAAACCTCTTGCAGATAGCCATTAAGGACCTACTTGATGACAGGCTTTACCAAAAGATATTGCTCGTTTCCAAACATTCATTCATTTACTTGCCGTTCATCAGAACCATTATGGCACCTTAGATTGATATTCCCACAAAACCATTCAGGTTTTTTGATATCCATACATCCATAAAGTTGAATATTTTTCGTTGTTCAGGAACTGAACAAACATCCACACTATATTCACAACGATTAAGAAATTCCCAAATATATGCTTTAAAGCTACCAGCAAACCTATAAAACCTGCAATAAAAAAACAACAAATTTGCCATATTTTTCTTTTTTCACACGAGTACACATTCTAGGTTATATTTATATTAGACATTATTTGAATACAGCTGATTATTGCATTTCAAGGAGTGACACATGTGCGGGATCTGTCAACTCTTGGTACCAGTCACAAAACATATACTCTGAAGGTTTAATTCCATGCTATTCAATCACAACACATAGTCACAAATAGTCACTTGAAACCATTGGTACTGGAATCAAAACCATCGGAGTCGGAGCCGAAACCATCGGAATCGAAGTCAAAACTATCGGAATCGGAGTAAAAACCAGTGGAATCGGAGTTAAACCATTAGAATCGGAGACGGAATCAATTCCTCGGAGATTAACGTAATCAAGTGTTTGAGTTCCCTTTGCGGTGTTGTTCCTTTGGAACGACTCGTTCAGAACCGACCCAGCTCTAAGCAGATCCAGTTCAGCAAATACTGCCTTGTTAAATCGTTGAGGAAATTCTTGGAAAATTCCTGCGTGTCTGAAATCTGGACTAAAACTCGCTTATTGGGTAAATCAGGTGCTTAGATCACAAATATGACATTCGTATGTTTCGCTGACACCCATAGAAGGTCCTAAAAGTTCCATTATGTAGCAAAAAACGTTGCTTATAGACTTTGATCTTCTTTCATTTATAGAGTTCAAAATTTTAAAGGCCAGCGGGTGAAACATTCATAAGATCTTGCGTACCTTTAGCATTTAGCATAGTCAAAATCGGGGTCCCAATTATTCCATTGTCAACAGACCACCATGTAAGTCGGATCTGCTTGATTTTGTTGTCTCTCCACTTGAAAAGCAGACACGTATGCAGAATCATAATGAAAAATACCTACAATTTCTATGTGAACCGTTTCGTCACGCATCTTTTTGTAGATCCGTGGGCTTAGTCGCGTGACTAGTCTTTATGGCAAAAATATATCGTGCAATTTTTCATCGGTTATTGGATTCAAATAGTTTTCATGGAGTTTATTCACATTCGAGGTCGTATAAGGCATGTTGTACCATTTAGATATTCTACCTGAAAAATTGAACATTATACAGATTTGAATATCAACAGCAAATGTATAAAAAAAGTATAAAAAACAGAGCAAACTTACCTATCGAAGGAGACACAAATCACGTCCCAAAGGATAACAAACATTCCTTTCCTTCTTAGCAGACTTAAGGGATGTTTGTTCTTTGGCACATATATTGTATTCGATAGATAAGGTTGTTCTGTTTTTTTTTGTATTTATTCAATCCGTTTGCTAATTACTCGTAGATTGGTCAATGGTTAGACTAATACTTTGTTGTGATGTTAATAATGCAATAAAGATACATATCATTATCATTACTAAAATGCTTGACAGTCACAAGTTCAAGATTGCTACATGACTAAATTCAGCAGTACTAATTTATATATTTTTTTTATCAGAACTTCGTTGCCTTGATCTCAATTCCGTATTCCACTCGTAGCAAATTTCGTATAGAAACTTTTTCTTATCGCATGCCAGACATGATCGATTGATCGAGAAATGCATATCGCTGGGAACAACTCATTATGAGTAAAACTAGGTCAATATCGTTTGCAATCAATGTTCGGTGGGAATCAAGGCACACTTCGGGTGTTAGTGTTTGTGCGGGTGGTCTACATTTTCAAAAATTTTGTGTAAGATGGAGCAGCCGCGACAGCAGAGCTCAAATGCCGAGGTACCGGACTGCAATTGAAAAAGCTAGTCAGTCTAGTCATTTTATTGGAGCCAAACGTTCATGCTGACGTTGTGGGATGAAGGGAACATGTGTCCAGGACGGACTTTAATATTGTTTGGCGTCCTGATATCGGTGATGGCGCATTGTTGCTATAAATTGAAAAGCACGTTTCACTATGCTTGTATTAGGCGAATAGATTTTGGTTTAGAATAGCACGCTAGTCGCCGAGAGAGGTTGATCTGCCTGTCGCATTTGGACAACCTTTTTCTGCAAACACTGCACTCCAGTTCATCAATCTCCTTGTCCGTAGCGCCCAACCATTGTATACGTCTTGATATTCATGTGTACAATGTAAACATTGTAGACAATGTTTACAATAGCAAATCATTACTTAAATACGCCTCTCTGATATGTGCAGCTCCTGCAAAGGTGGTTTTTGAATAACTAGAAATGGTATAAATATAGATATATATTATTATTTATATATATACAAAGTTATAGTCTCAAATAAATCGGTAGCATTGCTGAAATAAACAAACAAAATTCACACTGAGTGAAATTAGTCATTTTACCCTCTGTCACTCATTTTGTGTTTCACTGTGTTCCATCCGAATACTGTAGTGGTCTCTTGTTAGAGCTTCTGTATTTATTGAGGATATTGTGATACCTGCTTGGCGAGGACTGCGACATTAGCTGTGATTACGGCTGTTACTAGCATTGCAGACTATTTTATGACTGCAAAAATCGCTATAAGTTCAAAAGCACTTCTCTATATGCTTGTCTTAGTCAACTTTTTCTTGATAACGCGTTAGTCGCCGAAAAGGGTTAGATTTCAATTGACACGTAGCTGAATTGGACAGCCTTTCCCTGCAAACACTGCACTCTACAGATATAACCTCGCGTCTTTGAATAAAATGAAGCCAAGTTCATCGCTGTCCGTCCTTAGCGCCCAACCATATTGCTCTTGCCGATCCACGGGTCACTTCCGCTTTGACGTTGTATACATTGTATGGTTTGTATACATTTTGTACATTGTATACTTTGCATATATTATATAGATTGTATACAATGTATACATTTTGTACATTTTACACATTGTATACGCTGTATACACTGTATGCATTTTGTAGATTGTATACATTTATACATTCTATACGCCGTATACATTGTATAAATTGTATACATTGTATAAACTGTCCACATTGTATATATTGTATAAATTGTATACATTGTATACATTGTATAAATTGTATACATTGCATACATTGTATACATTGCATACATTGTATACATTTTATGCATTGTCTACGTCGTATACGTTGTCTACATTGTATAAATTGTATACATTGTATGCATTGTATACATTGTATATATTGTATACATTGTATACGTTGCATACGTTGTATACCTAGTATACATTGTATACGTTGCATACGTTGTATACCTAGTATACATTGTATACATTGCATACATGGTGTACATTGTATACATCTTGTACATTTTACACATTGTATACGCTGTATACATTGTATACATTTTGTACATTGTATACATTTTATGCATTGTATACGTCGTATACGTTGTATACATTGTATGCATTGTATACCTTGTATACATTATATACGTTAAATCCTTAGCTAATCACTCTTCTTTAATCTTATCAGATTCAATTGCAAATGTACAGTTCCAAATCATTCTACATGCTATCCATACCAAAACTAACAAAGTTGTGAGCACTGAGACGAAGAAAGCGATAACGTCCAACATGAAGTACTGATACAAGGGTATGTCCAAAATGTGATTTCTTAAGTGTCTGGCACCTTTATGCCTGATGACGTACTCTGACCACCATATTACTTTATCAACTCCTGACATCGGTTCATCCAGTATAAGCTCCGCGAGATATTTTACATTTGTGCGATAGCTGAAAGGTAAAAGAGAAGAAGGCTTGAATCTTGGAAAAAAGGACATGTTATGCTATGAAACTATGAAATTTACCTAGGATCTTCAATGACTTCTATTATAGAATTTCTCAACTGGTCCTTGGTTATACCGTCCTTCATGATGTAAATAGCTTTTCCAATTTTCTTAAGTTCTGCCTTCTTTGCATTTTGTTCTTGATCACCATAAAAGGGTAACATCACCATAGGAACGTGGAAATATATGGCTTCATCTAATGATTGTAAGCCTACCTGGGTGACAAACGCCCTTACATTTGGATGCCCTTCAAGAAATTTATATAAGCGGATACATATCCTAACGTGCGAGATCCTAAAGGATTACCAACATTCATAAGGAATCATCAAAGTTCGAACAACTTACTCAAAACATCTTGCTGCGGGGTCCATTTAACAAATTTAACATTCTTTGGCTTTTTCGGTATATCTTCAGACTCATATTTCCATAGTACTTTATACGGTAGTTCGCTTAACGCTTGCACTATAGCTTCAAATTCTTCCTGTTTCAAATCCGCACTTCTTACGTTACTTCCCAACGAGAAGTATACTACACCTTCCTTAGATTCATCCAAGAATTCTTTTAGGTCCTAAAATTTCAACTTAAATTATTTTTCGATGTGTATGTACATTTTTTTGTATATCAGTTTGTAGCAGACACAGTGAGCGACACATTCATTTCATTTTGAAACATAGGACATTTCAGGCTGATATAACAGACAATATAAATCAAAAGCATGAACAATTTGATATCCTGGAAAAAGTTACTCATTTTTTCCCGGGGAAAAAGTAATATCTAAAAAAAATACATTTTGTGACCTGAGATAAAATATCAGAAAAAAAAGTAGTTTTTTCCATTTCTTTCGTTCAATATCGATACATACCTTGGGTAAAGGTTGAGGCTTCCTGATATGGATCATTCCTCCAAAATTGATGGTATTTTGTCCAATCAATCTAACGCCATCCAAAGCTGGATGCACGTTGAGAAAAGTCATGGACACCTTGTCACTCAATTGTGTTACAGTCGGTGCATTCTCACCGAAATATTTTTTCAACATATTGTTTTTCATCTCATATGACCGTCTCAAAAATCCAAATTTATCGTTCAGATAAAACAAGACGCTGGTAATACGTTCTTTGAAGGTAAGATCCGTATAGAAAGGTAGAGGCAGTTCAGGGTAAACTATAGGATGAATCGGGTTGCCGATACTTTCATGTATCCTATTAAGGCCGCCAAAAGAACTCAGAAACACCGTTGGACATTTGTAAACCTCTCCGAAAATTAACATCTCTGGAAACAATGACTCAACAATCACTAAGTCAAATGTAGAATCGTTTCCCATCAGAGCCTTAACTTCCTTGTTGTCAAAGATATATTGCGATATAGTGTGTATTGCAGGAAACAATATCTCATTTACTTTGAAAGGATCATGTAACGATTTCATGTCACCATACATGGGCCTCCAAATTTTGTAAGTTTCATGTGTGTTGATTTCGATCAGGTTTGACAGTTTGGGATCGTTTATAGGGTTGGGCGTGATTAGTGTCACCTGAAAAGAAAAAAAAATTCAATTTAAAATTAACTTTGATCAACGGATCCGTGAATCGGAAAGCTACATAAACTGAATCCAAATTCGAGATGAGAGTTAGAGAGTTAGCGCGTGATCTCTCGTTAACAGGTGGAGGAAACGCCTCTTATTGGTCAATTCGCCATTAAATTTCAAGCGGTCGCCTGGCGGAATAATCCGCGGGGCAGGGGCAGGGCAGGCAGAGTTGCATTCAGGCCACCGACCGTCGCGTGTATCACTGCGTGCGCGTGTTTTCGTATTCACCTTGCTTGGTTGTTGCTGTTGTTGTTGTTAAGTGTATTTGAGTAATTTGTTAAGTTTCTGTTTGTTATTGTTATTCCTCGTTATTATTTGTTTTGAACCAATCCTGAACATGTCCAGTACAGATACTGTTGAAGAGGCTGTAGGCTACTCCCTTAGCCCTCCTAGAAAGCGATAAAAAAAGACATCTTAGCGTAGACATGAAAGACGTCATATTGAATACATTCAAGACAGAGCGGAAGGAAGACGAAACATCACCTAACCCGAAGGTGGCAGGTAAAATTGGGGCATGCCAAGCGACAGTGTACAATGTTTTGAACGAACATAAGAAAAAGCATGCCTTTTCCAAGCCAATGACGGGTAAAAATCGCAAAAGTATCATAAGATCGTTGGATGACGCTGACAAGCATGCGATTCGGAGGAAAGTGCACGAGTTCTTCTTCAGAAACGAAATACCGACAGTTGATAAAGTACTACCGGCGGTTAACGAGGATGCTATGTTACCAAATTTCAAACGTTCGACTATTCATAAACTTTTGAAGCATCTTAATTTCGAATGGAAGAAACGAGGTCGTAACAGCTTACTTATGGATAGAGAAGAAATTGTTCTGCGGAGGAGAGAGTACCTGACCAAAATTAAATCATTCAGGGATCAGCACAGGAAGATCTATTACCTGGACGAAACCTGGATTAACTCTGGGCACACAACTCCGAAGGTATAGGTTGACAAAACTGTGACTTCATCCAGAAGGGAATTTCTAGATGGACTGTCGACCGGATTGAAAAATCCAGCAGGTAAATAGATCGAAGTAGTTCAAGGTATCAATTTTTGCGCACAATATCTCTCTATCTTCGTACCTACAAGACGTGCATGTGTGCTTAGCGGATTTTATCTTTCTAGGCAAAGGAAAAAGGCTCATTATTTGCCACAATGGGGGTGTAGATGGCTTCGTGGATGACGGCTTATGGTCTTTTGAGTCAGAAAAAACCACTGATTACCATGAAGAGATGAATGGGGAAGCATTCGAGAAGTGGTTTTCAGGCATTTCACCACGTCTCGAAAACAATTCTGTGGTTGTTTTGGATAATGCTCCCTATGATTCTCGCAAAATAGAAAAAATCCCAACTTCAGCTTCTAGGAAATCAGATATTCAGAGCTGGCTCCGTCCCAAAGATATTGTGAAACAACACAGACCAAGACATGATAAATATGTCATAGATGAAATGGCCAAAGCACACCACAAAGCAGTACTCCGTTTGCCGCTTTACCACTGTGAGCTCAACCCCATTGAGCTCATATGGGCAGATGTTAAGAATTTTGTTGCTGCACACAATACAACATTTATATTTTCTGACATGCCAGAGCTGTTCAGAATTGCTATACAGAGGGTCACACCAGAAAGATGACAAAAATGTGTGCAGCATGTTCAGGAGAAAGTGGAGGTAGCAATGTGGGAGCTGGACAACATAATTGAGAGAGATATTGAATCCATCATCATAAACATTAATGACGATAGCTTTTCAAGTGAGTCTGAGTAAGTTTCGCGTTTTTGTTTTGTCACAGAATACATATTATGGGAATCCTAGTTATAGTGAAATATTAACTAACAAATAAACTACAGACAATGCAAGTCCGAAGTGCACCTTCAAAATCTATTTTCAATTGATGGAACAGCCTTATATTTATTCCATGTACAAAAGTGTCATCTCTACCCCTCGTTGACTACGGATTCATTGTGCATAGTGAGCAGCTGGTTACCTCTGGCATGTATTTCTCCATGTTGTCTAGTTTGAAAAATCTGTAGAAAAACTTAGCACCCCTTCAAGAATAAAAATTTGATTTTGCGACACCCTTAACTATAACTACCTCACTATATTAGATAATTTCGTTAAATACTGTCATCTTTGTTTTACAACACGTTGGTGGTAGTCCATCATTCGGAGGTAGCCCTCAATGCGGCCCTGTGCGCCGTACTTGCTTTTGGCAATCACGCGTCCATTCTATCTTGGGGTAAATACGCTTTAGAATAGAATAACGTTTGTCCTAAAAGCTTTGGCACAAAATTTTTACAAACACAAAATAATATCAAGTTGCCGTTGGAAACAAGAGTTGGTTTTCTTACTTTACCGTCAGTTGACATTTATTTATTTTGTAGCAAAGCCTTTAGAATAATTTTGAATAATGCAAGTTAAGAGTTGCATGACAGAAAGAGTAGCGGTTCCAAATTTGAGCCTTGGGGATTCCTGAAGTAGGCCATATGAGCGGTATCCTTTTATTGAGAAGATAAGAGTTAAACAATGATACAAGATCATCAGAGAACCCAAGAATTGGATGCCCAAATCTATACTATCAAATGTCTTTCCGATATTCATATGAATAACAACAACCTGAACCCTATCATATAAAGTTTCGTAAATAGTGCGAGCAAGATTAGTGCTACATGATTTTTTATCGATACTGAGCATATTAATTAATTATTCTAATTTAGTGACTCATATTTGAATACTTACATTGTGACCTTTAGAAGCTAGCTCTTTCCATATCGGCCAAAAAGCAGTCTGATGACTGTAACACGGAGTTGGTACGATCCCTAAAATTCGCGCGCCACTTGAAAGTGCTAGCAGATTCAAAAAAGTTATCACCAGCATGATTTGTTGAATTACATATATCTCGGTTATGATTGATACGTAAGAAAAAAGGTCGCTTTTACTTATTTAAAAAGTATCCGTGTTATCTGCAACAGCTCATTGGCGTCGAGTGCATGTGGAAGTGCATTTGCGATGAATCCGATGATACAATAGGGAATCCTGGCAATTACAGATTTCGCATATGCAATCTTAACTGGAAACGTAGTACGTCATTTCCAATTAATTCAACTCTGACTCCACAGCAGTACAAAAAAATTAGCTATTAAAATAATTTACATCAATGATCTGCCAAACTGTAGCATCAATATCCTCCAATAGTAACTCTGACCTTGTATTACTCGATTCTCAGCAGCACTTTGACAACATTCCAAACTTGTTTAATACCAACAGTTTGTCAGTCAACATAGCGAAAACTCAATCTCTTCTACTCAGTACTCGTCTACATAGAAGTAATTTAGTAGAACCTGTGAAATTTCTTGAGAACGATGTCTGGTAGACGTCTCAGGGCGCTCCACTACACTTTCACGAACTCTCTCGATATTTGCACGGCGCGACCTTGGCACGTCTTTAAGTTCACCTGTTTGTTTAAATTTCGACCGAAATCTTGTCGTAGCTTCCGAATCGTTGCAACAATCGACTCACTATTTAAGTAAAACGTTTCAACAATACGGACGCGTTGTGGGTTTGTGTAGCACTCCATAATGAATTGGACACATGTGCTTTAAACCACTAATACGACGCCACCTACTGAAATGCGGGTATCAAAAATGGCACACAATTTAAATCAGTCTGTTATATATTGGCCCCCGTGTATTTTCTTTAAAAATATCCGTCTAATCTGCTTGTAACGTTTACATCTTGTTTTAAACACTAATGATAGGCTAACTCTAGTTGTGGTGTATTTTTGTTTTTCGTTGTTTATACACTTTATAAGCCAAAGGCATCATATGAAACATAATCCACAAAAAATTACGGTTTCAAATTGAATTAAAATATTAGAACTACGTTCTTCCGTGGAAATGTTCAAAGCCATCCACCTGGCCGGGTTTTCACTTTGTACGAATCGAATCTGTTACAGGCAAGATAGACTGCAGCATTTTGCGCTTAAACCACAAACTGCACGTCTCTGACTTCCGAAGTGTTCCATTCTGCGTTATTTAACTTCTTTATCGTCAAGTGGCAATCCCGATTGTATAACCATACTGTGCAATGTGCGAAATTGTTCGGCTTGTTTATCTTTGGATGCTTGATAAGAAGTATATTCATACATAACAACCAAGACATGGTATCCAAAAACAGTTGGATGCAAAAATTGTAGACAACAGTATGCTCCTTACTTGGAAATATTTTGATCTCTACAGGGTGACGTGGTGACCCAAGCATTCGAGTGATTTTTGATTTTGATTCTTGTCTAACTTCCAAGTACAGCGCCTCCAGGGTTGTCAGATAGAACGCTACGTTGCCAGTCTCGTAACTTAATTTACAGACCTCGTACATTTTTTTTATCGAAAAGCACTACATTTTGTTACAGATATAACATACTATGAGGTTTTATTTTAAAGTTGTTGAAATATTCGACGAACTGTCAAAAAAAAACAATGAATTTCACCAACTTGCATCGCCGCAACTCTTACAAATAGAGTACTTACTGAATTTTGCCTTAAAAAAGGTTTTTGAACCCATACTTTTTCAGGTCTTTGGTAAGACTATCAAGGACGCAAAATGAATCATTTCTCAAAATTTTCTAATAGATCACTCTGTATATTTTCATAATATCGACTGGTTGTTATTGAAAACACTAGGACATCTTCTTGACTTTCTAACTTTGTTGCATCAGGTTGGATAGCTTTGATTTATAATCGAAATACACTATAGTGTATCTAACGAAGCTACAAAGTAATCGTAAACAGTGGTTGATTCGTGATCAACGCGTGATCGGTAGCCATGGCGCTCTGTCGGCCTCTTCCTGATTGGCTTGTAGCGACGAGCCTCCAGACAAAGTCGCACGGTTGCCACGCTCGGCGAGTTTTCGCCAGAGTGGTTGATCCCATTCGCATGGATCACAAATCAATCTGTTGGTGCAATACGTGCAATAACTGTTGTAAAGGACATTATATAACAATAAATGGCATCACAAAGGTATATTCCAATTTGATCTGCAGCAAATTATGAACGGCATATACGGAGATGCGAAAACAAGCTCAAAAAGGCGAAGAAAATTTTTGTGCAATCTTTATAGTTAAATTTTTCCTAAGAGATAGCATCAGTGAGGGAATTTTTTTCTATTGTCTTATTTTTAACATTAATGCGATGTCGAGGTATGTGGCCCTATCGCAATTGAAAATAAGGTTTCGATAATCCTTCCATAAAGTTTCGATGAGTACATCTGAAATAACCTTGAGATATTCTTCAGGGAAATACAAAAATCTCCTTTTGTGTTTTTTTGTGCAGATTTATCTATTAAAATCCTATCCGCAATCTATTTTCCGTGCACACACCTTCAACCGAATGTATTCCATATATGATATTACCGTTTCCAACTTTCACCAAGGTTAATAGGAACCATAACAGCTCCCTACCCTTCCCCCTATAAGAATATCGATTTGTAGCCTCACATTTCAAGGATAGACTTCTTGTAATGTTTCTGTTCAACATTCGGCGATTTCTGACATTTTTCCCAATAAAACATGATCATTGTGATATTAAGCCTGGCAACGCTGCATAGTAGAGGGAACTCTCAGCGTCACGTTGATGGTTCGTCACCACGCACATGATTGTAATCAGTTACGGATACCCGTTTATGAGCGCGAACGTTTTATGCACGTCTTGACTTGATTTTTCTTGCGGAAATTTAATATTAGTCTAAAATGTCTGACACAGATACAGCTAATGAAGTGGTTGAAATCAGCTTAACGCCACCCAGAAAAAGGGCTAAAAAGCTTCATCTTAGCGCAGGTGAAAAACAAATTATTCTAAATATCTACAAGAACCAGATGCAAGAGAATAGAATATAGAAAATATCGTATGTAAGGTTGCTGAAATTTCTGGAGTAGGTCGATCAAGTGTTTACAAAATCTTGAAGGAATATAGACAAGATCACTCACTATCTGAGCCAAAAACACATCCAGCGAGAAAAAAAATCATCGAAAAAATAGATGACTTTGACAAAAGTGCCATTAGAAGAAAAGTACATCACTTTTTCTTCAGGAATGAAATACCTACAATAGATAAAATAGTTTATTGATAGAAAAGGAGGAAATTGTTATCTGGAGGAGAGAATACCTTAGAAAAATTAGGCAATTCCGCGCTGAAGGAAGAAAAATTTATTATTTAGACGAAACATGGGTGAACGCGGGGCATACGCAGGGAAAGGTTTGGGTAGACAGATCTGTGAGGTCCTCAAGGCAGGCTTTTTTAGATGGCCTTTCGACGGGATTGAAAAATCATGCAGGTAAGTTTCGAAGTATATGAACTTTTTTGGATGCAGATAATTCATTTTCTGATCAAATCAATGATTTGGAAGCTCCGAACTCAGTTTTGCTATCTCATCCAAGTTTCTGAGTATTTCCTTCACCCAAAAACTAATCTAAGACCCTATCCTACACTAACCTAAAAAGAGTAAGTTGCTTAATTTCGTCATTTAGTGCCCTCGCTGAGAAGTAAAATAACTAATTACTTTCAGGCAAGGGAAAACGCCTGATCATTTGCCACATAGGTAGCGTAGATGGATTTGTTCCTGAAGCATTGTGGGCATTTGAATCCAAAAAAACTGGAGACTATCACGAAGAAATGGATGGTAACTCGTTTGAAAATTGGTTCAAAAAAATTTTGCCGACACCTTTTTTCTTCGATGGATACAGTTTAACTCTTACGATCTGTTGTTACCAACTAAATCCTGGTTTTTATTTTGAAAGATATTGTGGCCAAACTAAGAATGCGAGGTACTGTATCTAGAAACCTATCAATCGCAGAGGCTTGCGACAAAAAAAGTTAATACCAAAACGGCCAAAAGAACAACCTGGAAAATATTTTCAAATTTCTGAAATGGACGCTGGGAGGCGTAACTGCCATCTTGAATATAAAAAAGTGACGTTTCTGTGAATTCCGCTATATCAAACCAACAAAAATATATCTGATCTTTAAAGAACAGGATGATGTGAACTATTATGTTTGACAATTTTTTTACAAAGGTTTCCATATCTTCGAAATGGCTATGCCGATTTTAACAAACTTGAGCTAGTTGGAAAGAAGAAATGGTTAATTTTCTCAAAAAAATTAAATGAATTGGTACGATTGTGTGGCATACTGGGGGCAGAATAATTGGTCCATATTTTTTCGATCAACCCCTAAATGGCAATGTCTTTCTTGACTTTTTGGAAAGTCATGTACCGTTTTTGTGCTGTATGTGCCACTGTAAACACGGCAAAACTTGTTTGGATCATTGCCCAGCACATTTTGCTATTATTGTACTAGAGCATATTAATGCAGTACTTCAATAGCGGTGGATTGGAAGAGCAAGTCTGTTTCCATGGCCTTCGCGATCACCAGACTTAACTTGTCTTGATTTTTATTTATGGGGACGGTTGAAGGATATCGTGTTTCAGACTCAACCTACAGCCAGAGAAGATATGAAAAACCGGATTCGTAATGCAATACGTAACATACCGAAAGCCGAAATTAAAGCTGCAGTTTTTTCTACCCATGAGACGCTTCAGCAATGCAAGGAACATAACAGGGCCACAACTTAATAATAAAAAGAAATTCCAGAAAAGTTAGTTAAGTTAGTTAAAAAATGAAGGGATTTGCGTATAAAATTTTTTTTGGCCTAAATTGTAGGTTAGGAACAAGATATCGAGATGCGGTTTTCACGAGCATCATTTAGCTTCTTTTCATAAAATAAAGATACCAATGTATTTAATTTTTTTGAGAAAATTAACTATGTCTGTCGGAACGTCGAAAAAAGCCCTCTAACGGCAACATGTGACACTCACAAAACTTCAAATATTGTAACATTTATAGCTCAAGAATAGCTCTTTTCAACTAGCTCAAGTTTTCAAAGGTACAGGGTGTTTTTTACGGACACCTTTGAATAGCCCCCACCACACTATTTTTTAGAAATATCTACAGCAAAAATTTCCAAACCAAAAAGTTCGCATCATCCTCTACTTTAAAGATGAGGTATTTTTTTGTTAGGTTCATATAGCGGAATTCACAGAAACGTCACTTTTTCAGATTCAAGATTGCCCCTCAGCGGCCATTTCAGAAACTTGACAATATTTTTGAGGTTTTTCGCTTGGCCGTTTTAGAAGGAACTTTTTTTGCCTCCACGATGCATTCTGATTTGGCCACCCTGTACACCATGTATTTGTAACTGCGACAGATTTAATGATAATGACTAAATCTCGCGTCATCGAACTTTGCTTTGATGAAATAACAAGGTAGTATATTAATCCTGATTATTTACTTACATATACAGGGTGTCCGCAAAGTTGGGGTTTTCCTTTACACGACGTGTAGATCTTGAAAACATAAGCAATTTTTCTTAGTACCATATACACCAATGTCTTAAGGAAACCGAGATGAAGGGCTCTGCAACATCAAAAATATCTGAATACCGTCCTGTAGCCGCGACTCGCGACATCCCCGAGTGGTACTAGAACACTAGCTCAACCCGACGACAGAACTGGGTCGGGGTCAGTGTGTCAGGTCAGTATGCAACCTTCAAATGACGTTTACGGTCACGCGTGTAGAGGTAAACGAACCCGTATAATCGATTGCGTTTAAAAAAAATAATAATGGCACACTCATACACCAATAATGAACTCGTTGATATGTTGTTATCTTATGGCGAATGTCTTCGAAATGCTACAGAGGCTTCGCGACTGTATGCAGATCGTTTCCCTAGACGACATCATCCAAGGCCCCGCATATTTGTGTACCTGGTCCAGAGAGTCAGGGATACGGGCCATTTGGAGGAATTTCGAGGTGGGCACAGTGGGAGGCCTAGACAACCACGAATGGTGCAAGTTGAGGAAGAACTACTGAATCGCATAGACGAGAATCCCTCAACAAGCACTAGAGACGTGGCTAGAGAAGTGCAATTATCAAAAACTAAAGTGGCAAACGCTGCGTGAAGAGGGGCTGTATCCGTTTCACGTCCAACGTGTACAAGCCCTTCAACCTGACGATTTTCCAGCAAGAGTGCGGTTTTGTGAGTGGTTGTTGCATCAACATGACAATAATCCGGACTTTTTGAGGTGCATATTGGTGACAGACGAATCTACGTTCACGCGTAATGGGGTGAATAACTTTCGCGATACTCATGCTTGTTCAGTAGAAAATCCGCACGCTGTCCGTCGGGCACATTTTCAACAAACATTTTCGGTGAATGTTTGGGCTGGCATGGTGAACGGTATGCTCATTGGACCATTTATTCTCCCAAATCGATTGGACGGGATGCAATACCTAGACTTTTTACGCAACATTTTGCCTTCCTTGTTAGAAGATGTGCCATTAAATGTAAGACAATCAATGTGGTTTCTGCACGATGGTGCACCGCCCCATTTTAGACGCGAAGTGCGTGAGTTTTTGAATGAATTATTTCCCAATAGATGGATCGGATGTAATGGACCCGTAGCGTGGCCTCCGCGATCTCCAGACTTAACACCATGTGATTTTTTTCTTTGGAGAGAAATGAAACGCTTAGCGTACAAAACTGAAGTGCATACGGTTGACGAACTTCGTCTCAGAATTGAACAAGCTGGTGCTTTCATTCGGGGGAGGGACTCCATTCTCAAAGCCTGCACCGATGCTTGGCTACGTCGTGCACGCACCTGTGTTTTTGAATCAAACGGCGATAACTTCGAACAATACCTATAAAGTACGTTTACCTAAAAACTGAAAACGCGGCAACGCCGTCATATTTGTTACCTCTGTTCGTGGTCTGCACCACCGCCTGCGTCTGCTCGGTAGCGCATCAGCTGATTTCATTTTCTGTTGGAGCGGTATGATTTCGGGCAGAGACGTACTTAGTCCTTCTCGTCAACTGGAGAGCGAGTACTTTTTCCTTTATTTTTTTTTACTTGGTCGCTCTCGTTTCACTACACATTACCTTTGTTATTTCAAGGGTAGTTCTTTCTGAAAAGGACAACCCCAACTTTGCGGACACCCTGTATAACTGGCTGATTCAAATTTCGCGTTATTTAAGATACACGCATTGCAGTAGTTGTTTAAAGCACTATGCCTCCGACGCTACACGATCCCACAGCGCGTCCGTATTGTTTAAATGTTTTACTTAAGTAATAAGTCGATTGCTGCAACGATTTCGGTCCAGATAATGTGCCCAGTGTCAACACCGTTCGTCAGTTGATGCGGAAAATTGAACAAACCAGTGAAGTTAAAGACTCGCCAAGGTCGTGTTCGAACCGTTCGTACTCCGGAAAATATTGAGAGAGTTCGTGGAAGTGAAGTGCAGCGCCCTGAGACGTCTACTAGACATCGTTCTCAAGAACTGAGTATTCGTCGCACGTCATTATGCGTTATTTCAAAGAAAGACTTGCATTTGCGGCCATACAAAATTCAGTTAACCCAAGAATTAGCCTAGTGACCATGGAAGTTGCCGACAATACAGTCATGCAATATTCATATACATATCGGTCACCCTGTATAATGGAGAAACCTCGAAGGCGTGGCTTAAACACCGAGGTACCGCGACTGCGAGGTGAACCGTGAAGAACACCCCTGTTGACGTTGTGGGATAAAAGAGACGACCTATCAGATGTGCTGAAGGGTGGAGTTCGGTATTTTTCAGGTTGTTTCATGAAGAAAAAAAATAATGCATATGCCTCAATCGTCAGCTAATCATTCTTCTTTAATCCTAGCAGATACAATTGCAGAGACACGATTCCGAATCATTCTATATGTTATCCAAACTAAGACTAACAAAATTGTGAGCACTGAGATAGAGAAAGCAAGAATGTCCAACATGAAGTACTGATACAAGGGTATGTCCAATATGTGGTTTCTGAAGTGCCTGGCGCCTTTATGTCTGATGACGTACTCCGTCCACCATATTACTTTATCAACTCCCGACATCGGTTCGTCCAACATTATCTCTGCTAGAGATTTTATGTTCTTGCGATAGCTGAAAGATAAAAGATGAAGTACCTTTAAACTTTTCGAAAGTGATGAATCGATAAGTAGTTGAAGGTTCCCCACAAGCTTGAACAAACTACATTGCACTGATTGGATGCTACTTGATCCAATTTTCCTTACCTTGTGATGGAAAGATAGTAATAATAAAATAGGCTAGCTAACACTTTCTTAACTAGGTCTTAAATAGTTAAATTATTTGTTATATTGAACCAAATAAATGAATGTCATATTTTTTCAAATCTAAAGGACCGTAAAACTTTAAGTTATAAATAATTTTTTCTTAGACAAGCGAAAACGCTATTTGGCCCGCATTATGCGATCTGACGTCACACCATTTGTAAGCAGTAGCTGACAGCAGCATAACCTCCCAAACTTTTAAACATATAAACATGACTTCTACTAGTTTATATGAGAAATATAGTAATTGTTATTTTATTGTCGGATAATGTAAAAATACATCGATAAAGACACCAGGAAAGCTGTGATCAGGGAAACAAATATACGCCGCACTGTATATTGCTTGGAGCATGCCTTACGTTCGGGACATACAGGGTGACGGATCGAAAACGAAACAGACGCGTTTACTGGCAGCTCAGTTTTTTTTTTTAAACGCTCAGACCCGTCGATTTTGTTTTCGAGGGGGACACAAGTTTGGCAAAAAATCACGTTAGCACGTGCAGCCCCCTAAGCGGAGGCGACACCACCCCCAAAATGTTAAATTGAAAGGGGGGTCGAGTGATACCTTATTTTAAAGGCCTTTCAATTCCCTTTATAATGAAATAAAATTAATGTACTTCAGTTCAGTAGTTTTGAAGATTTATTGATTTAAATCTTAAAGTAGACTTTAATAGGTACATCAGATTAGTTTGTACTACTTTCAGAAGAAATTTGACTAAAAGAATTTACTTAATCAGTAAATGCTTGTCTTCACTACGCCCATGGTTTGTTTACCATTTTGTTGTTGAAAATAGCTTTTTTAGCATTTTTTTGTGGCAAGAAAGTTATTTCTTGAAGAAAGATAAGGAAATATCTCGTACTTATTTTAATTAGGAATTTAGTACATATTTTGCTATTGAGTTGACCAAACTTTGTTGCTAAAATAACGCTTTATTACATAAATTAACCATGGTATATTCCACAGCAGAAAGAGTTGAAATTATCGAAATATTTTTCGGAAATAATCAGTGCGCTAATAGAACAGCAGAAATATTTAATGAGCGACATGAGATCAGTAAAGTGCATCGAAAATATGTTCTAGAACTTGTAGCTAAATTTCGGGAAACCGAGGCAGTCGCCAATAAAAAACGCAACATTGAAAATCCCATAAGGAACGAAGCAATAGAAGTGGGGGTTTTAGGGCAAGTTTAAGTAGATCCTACGTTAAGTACTCGCAAATTGGAGACTGTGTGAGGTGTTAGTCGGCGTACTGTCCAACGGATTCTAAAGGCCCATAGTTTTCATCCGTATAAAATTCACCTGGTATAAGAACTTAATGAAGGGGATTTTGATCGGGATTACAATTTTGTGAAGATATGAGTGAACGAATTATAAACGATGAACATTTTCTATTCAACACTTGCTTTTCCGACGAATGTTCCTTTTTCTTAAATGGCGTAGTAAATCGTCATAACTGCCGATATTGGTCCGATTCTATCCCAGAATTTATCATGAGGTTCATACACAGCAGCCACAAAAATTAAATGTTTGGGCTGATATTTTTGGCGATCATTTAGTTGGTCCTTTTTTCTTACCTGGAAATTTGACCGGTGAAATGTATTTGGAATTACTGGAAGACGCCATAGATCCTGCATTAACAGCCATAATTGAAAATCGGAATGATCGACGGTACTTTGCTAATAGGTTGATATTCCAAGAGGACGGTGCCCCACCACATTACGCATTACATGTTCGACATATTTAGATCAAACGTTTCCAGATCGATGGATTGGTAGAAGAGGTGCCATTGAATGGCCCCCAAGATCGCCAGATTTATCACCTCTGGATTTCTATATGTGGGGTCATTTAAAAAGCAAAATCTATGCTACTCAGCCAACATCATTAGAAGACCTGCGACGAAGAATTGTGAATGAGTGCCTTCAAATTACTCCTCAAATATTGCAAAATCTTTATTATTGCATGAAGAGTCATGGTGGCCATTTTCAACATTTACTTGCCGAACGGGTCAGTTTTATTTAAGCTTTAAATCAATAAATCGTCAAAACTACTGAACTGAAGTACATTAATTTGATATCATTATAAAGGGAATTGGAAGACCTTTAAAATAAGGTATCACTCGACCCCCCTTTCCATTTAAGGTTCTGGGGGTGGCGTCACCCCGCTTAGGGGGCTGCACGTGCTAACGTGATTTTTTGCCAAACTTGTGTCCCCCCCTGAGCGTTTTTCCAAAAAAAAAACTGAGCTGCCATTAAATGCGTCTGTTTCGTTTTAGATGCGCCACCCTGTATGTATTTTACATTGTACTGTGTGTTATCATCTCATTTAAGGCAGTTTATCACGGTTTTGTTTGTTGTTTTTCTGTGGCCGCTGATTGGATTCTTTTGTGCTCTGTAGCGGTATATGCCTTAATAATCCTATTATTAGATTTTTATACTTCATTCAACAATGTACGAATTTTTTTGATCAAATTTTTCTAATATTTCCATATTTTCTCGAAAAAAATTAATGCGACCTAGTTCAAATTTCGTGTTCACATTAAGTTGTATGTTTATGTCACGAGCCCTTTATGTTTAAGAAAAATTGTTTTTACAAACAACATTACCTGATAACTTTTCTACCAAACTTTTTTGTTACGTCTTGGATAGCTCATGACATGTAATCAATGACAACCTGTCGATGTGTGGAAGTTTTTTTTAAGTTTTTTTAAGAAATAAACCAGATAATATGGAAATAATTTTAAAAACTGAAATCGATATATTTCGTTTTCCTCAGGCAAATACTGTAAAAAATACTAATTTATTCTATGAAATCAGATTTGCGTCAAGTAGCTGCATTGAGAGTAGAATAAATATCGATTCATCTAATTTAAATCTTGTAAAGATTGATATGCGTTGCTATGGTATTGTAAAAATTACCTAGGATCTTCAATAACGTCCTTTATAGAATTTTTCAGCGCATCCTTGGTTATACCATCCTTCATGGGGTAAATAGTTTTTCCAATTTTCCTAAGTTCCGCCTTCTTCGCATTTTGTTCTTGATCGGCGCAAAAGGGTAACATCACTATAGGTACGTGGAAATATATGGCTTCCTCTAGTGATTGTAAGCCCGCTTGGGTTACGAATGCCCTTATATTTGGATGCCCTTCAAAGAAAAAGCTTGCAGTGACTGAACGATTGCTGGAGTAACTGTTAAAAGCCGTCAAGTGGATACATACCCTAAAGTGCGAGCTTCTAAGGTAGTTCTTTCTGAACTTTAATGATCAAATTTCGAGCAACTTACTTAAAACATCTTGCTGAGGGGTCCACTTGACAAACTTTACATTCTTCGGCTTGTTAGGTATATCGTCTGACTCATATTTCCATAGTACTTTGTACGGTAAATCGCTTAACGCTTGTATTATAGCTTCAAATTCCTCCTGTTTCAAATTTGCACTCTTCACGTTACTTCCCAACGAGAAATATACTACTCCTTCCTTAGAAGCATCCAAGAACTCTTTTAGATCCTGAAATGTTCACTTAAATACTAGAAATGCACGACAAAATTAATTCTCACTTGAAAGCACTATTATACACTGAGAACCAAATTTGTCTGACTTGACGAGAGAGAAGTGTGTTTAGATACATATGTTAGAAAGAGATGGCTGCGCTTACGCGACAATGTCCTGCGTTGCCAATATGTTACACGAGTTGCTTGAATTAACATGCATGTTGGAAATATGCGTTTATCATCTATGGCCAAATAATGGTTTTATTATGATCGTGCACATTTTATCGGATCGGTACTAACGGTGCTCCATTTTAGGTCGAAACGGAAGGTCGGGATCTGTAACATTACATAAAATTGGTTCACTTGGCAACACCGCATCCCGTACATTCCAAGGCAAGGTTTCCAATTCCATGATCATAGTTGAGCGGTTTTGGACAGTATACACAGACCTGCTGTTTCGAAATGGCTTTCACCTGCGTACACGCAGGCAGTGATAATTTGTATTTCGTATAATGTAACAAAACTCAGGATGTGTTGATTTTATCACCATCGCTAGAAATCAAAGATAATTCTAAAATATTGTAGAATATTTTCTGGTGTAACATATTGGCATTGCGGCAGTCAGCACGACCTGCGTCGTGGCAATGTGCAGATGACATTCGCTCTTCGGCAGGCTTCTATCTCTTTCTAACATGCGTTGATACACACCTCTCGCGCTTCTCTCTCGTACACATTGAAATCAAGCTGTCAGAGAAGTTTGGTTTTCTCTGTATACAAAATAAAGGTTTCATGCACTCATCGTTTATTGGTGCGCTTTTCACTCAATCAACTAGCTCAATTTAAGTGTCCTGGATAGTCTGGCATACCATAGACACTGATGTTTACGTAATTAATATGAAATGCACTCAAAAGTAGCTGGACACTCTGACTCACCGGGCTACCCAGGTCACCAGGAAATCAACTATTTTTGGTTTCTTTTATTCAGTAAATATACTAAGTGACATATAAATCCGAACACCCAGTTTAAATGGTTTTATTTTAATAAAAGTTGGTGAATGTATTTATCTTACTGTAAATAACAAGTGAAAAAAATTTCAGCCTTATCAGTTGGACATTCCGGTTTTTATACTGCTTTTTTTTTATTCACTAACGCTCTAAAAATGAATATTTCAGCCGCAGTAAAGAATCAACGTTGGCGAATTTTGGTTCTTGACATCCTTTACGATCGGTTACGATGCCTAGAGGACGGAGACCTGTACGATTTCGTCAACTTAGTGAGTTTGATAGGGGCCGTATAGTGGGACTTCGGGAAGCTGGACTTTCTTTTCGGGCAATTGCAGTTAGAGTGCAAAGAAGTGTAGACACTGTGGTTAGGGGTTGTCAGGCATGGCTTCGAGAAGGCCGTACGCAAAGAACAAGGGGCACTGGACGCCGCCGTAGAACAACAGACCGTGAAGATCGCCGCCTAAGATTATTGGCCTTAAGGGACCGTTTCTCCACTACCACGTCCATTGCAAATGAATGGTTTGCAGAACACGGAAGACCTATTGGCATGCGAAGTGTTTACCGACGAATGAGAAGTTTTGGCTTGTTTTCATACCGGCCACACTGGGTCCTCCCTTTAACTCGGGAACACCGACGTAATCGCCTTGAGTGGTGCAGACAACGGTCACTCTGCGATCAGAAATGGAACAGTATTGTCTTTAGTGACGAGTCTCGATTTTGTTTAGGCATGCACGATGGTCGTGCCAGGGTTAGAAGGCGACGTGGTGAAAGGAGGAATCCACAGTTTCTTGTTGAAAGACATGTTCATCACACTGTTGGAGTTATGGTTTGGGGTGCTATAGCTTATGGTTCCAGGTCACCTTTAATCTTCATCAGAGGTAACATGAACGCGCAGCGTTATATCCACGAAGTTCTAGAACCCCTATCTTGACACCCTGGCAGATCCAACTTTCCAACAAGATAATGCCCGACCACATGTTGCAAGAGTCACAATAGACTTCTTTCAACATAATGATGTCACATTGTTACCATGGCCACCAAGATCTCCCGACTTATCCCCAATTGAGCACGTGTGGGATTTAATGGGTAGGAGATTGCTCAATTTGCAACGTCCTCCTCAGACTCTAGAAGCACTTCGAGAGGAGTTGGTGGTTGCCTGGAATGAGATACCACAGGAGGACATTGACCACCTGATCAGAAGCATGCCTAGGCGCGTTGGAGAATGCTTAGCACATCAGGGTGCATCCACACATTATTAAAGGTCAAAGGGCTTTAAAGCAGTGCAATCATTTTGAAATTTTTATCATTTACTTATTATGCTTCATTAAGTACTTATACAAAATTTTATTAAAATAAAACCATTTAAACTGGGTGTTCGGATTTATATGTCACTTAGTATACCTTGGGCAGAGGTTGAGGATCCCTGATATGCACCATTCCTCCAAAATTGACGGTATTTGGTCCGATCGGCCGAGCGCCATCCAACGCTGGATGAACATCGAGAAAAGTCATGGACACCTTGTCAAGCAGTTGTGTTATACTCGGTGCATTCTCACCAAAATATTTTTTCAGCGCATTGTTTTTCACATTCAATGACTGTGGTTCGAATCGAAACTTATAAGCCAGATAATACAAGACGCTGGTAATACGTTCTTTAAAGGTGAGATCTTTGTAGTAAGGTAACATTAGTTCAGGATAAACTACAGGATGAACGGAGTTGCCTATACTCTCATGTACTCTGATGGCACCACCCATAGAGCTCAGGCACACTGTTGGACATTTGAAAATTTCTCCAAAAATCAACATTTCTGGAAACATCGTCTCGACAATCACTATGTCAAATGTAGTATCGTTTCTCGTAAGCGCTTTAACTTCTTCGTTGTCAAAGATGTATTCTGAAACGGCGAGTAGCGTAGGAAGAATTACGTCATTTATTTTGAAAGGGTCATGTAACGCTTTCATGTTTTTATACATTGGTGTCCAGATTTTGTATGTTTCTCGAATGTTGATTTCGGTTAGGTTTGACAGCTTGGGGTCGTTTATAGGGTTGGCGGTGATCAGCGTTACCTGAAAAGCAAGGAAAAAGTTTAAGTTAAGTTTGATCGACAAATCCTCTTCGTCTTGCATGAATCAAGAAGTTATACAGTTGAGCAAGTTTACAGTTCTTAGGCCAACAGTTTCAGTCGTCAAAATTAATAATAATAATAATGTTTCCAAACGAAGTAAACCATAATTATGTGGACATCGAGCAGTCGTTCAAGTGGCTTACAGATGGAAAACTCTTCCCAGAAACAGAAGGCATTTTCATAGAATAGAAAGGATTTATTTAGCTTAAGCTACTTCAAACAATAATAAATATTATTTACAAAAATATGTTAAATTTACAAAAATCAAACCAAATAGTTTTTCTGAAATCTGTTTTTGAAATTTTTAGCATTTCTAGATGTTTTTACATTAATAGGAGTATTGTAAATTTTTAGACCTTCAACAAACGTTGACTGTTCTAAACCTTTAAATCTAAATTTTTGTATATGGAAATTTTCTTTTGATCTAATGTCGTAACCTTGCATTTCACACATTTCTTTTTAGAAACTGTTCAAGTGATTATTGATAATTTTATATACTCAAAAAAATCAAATTTGCCTCTTGAATGATTTGGTGTGTGTATATTAGAAAATGTATTGCCTTTAGCATATCCTGTAGAGCATTGGTTCCCAAAGTGGTCTATATCGACCCCTAGGGGTCTATGACAACCTGCAAGGGGTCTACGTCAGCGAAGAAAAAATTGGGGGTCCATGAAATGAATATGGGGGTCCACGATAGTGGATCTCAACACATACACTGATAGTACCTATTTACTTACATCATACTATCTTATAATATCAAAACATATATAGTACCTATGAAGTAAAGAAATTATTATATCTGTTTATAAAATTGTGTAAGTTGTAGGATGTTGGTATTCGCTTTGTGGTCGCAGTACATTTTGAACTTGTAAAAACCTGAGAGTCGCAGTCTCAGAGCTTCGCTACCTTGCACTGACTTGTTCAATTCGTCACTCTATAAATACGAATGTGGGACAAATACGTTTATTCGTTTCCTGAATCTTGAAAAGGAAAGTGCTAAGAAAATATTTTAAAAAATATAAACAGATAGTATACCACACAAATTATAGTGAGTCAGTGTTATTTTGTTTGAGAGTGCTGGAGAAAAGTAAGTACATTATTTTTTATCAAAATTTTAGTGTTGTACTCGTAGTTAGCAAAGATAGATAAATTACGCTAATCATGACTTTAGTTATTAGTAGTTAAATATTCAATCATGCAAAATTACACGAGTACTCCTCAATAGTTACTTTTTGAAAGTTTCAGCAATCGGTAATATAATTACAGTGCAAACTCCGTAATTCGAGCTAATTGTTGCAAGAAGATGTTCGAATTATGGATTGTTATCGGAAAAATCAAAAAATATTTTTAATATACAGCTGCTGGATTTTCTGTCTTATTTAAATAATTTAATTTTGCCCACAGATGACTGATGCCATGTCCGAATCTAAATAGAAATATAGACAGTACAGTGTTCATCATTTGAAATTTGGCTTCATTCCATCATTGCCGGACAAACAATCGCCTATGTGCCTTTTATACAACAAAGTTTTGGGCAATGACGCTATGAAACCATCTAAACTGCAAGATCATCTGAGAAGATGCCACCCTGATAAAACAGAGAAAGATTTGAAATACTTTCAAACACTCAAAGATAAATTTCAGAAGAGACCTACACTGGACAGAATGTTCGCTTCGACGTCACAAAGAAATGATGATGGTTTGCGGGCGTCTTCCAATATCTCGTTACTTATAGCAAAATCCGGAAAACCGCATACTATCGGAGATAATTTAATTTTGCCAGCCGTTGAAGAGGTTTTAAAAACTGTTTTACACAAACCTGCATCTGATATCATTAGAAGAATTCCCTTAAGCAGCAATGCCGTTGAAAGACGTATTGATGAAATGAGTTCTGATATTGAAAGCTTCTTATGTAATTATTTGCAAACGACCCAGTTCTCTATACAACTGGACGAGTCAACTTTACCTGATAATGCTGCATTATTATTGGCATATGTTCGTTTTATTATGAATCAAGAAATCTACGAAGAACTGCTCTTCGCAAGAACTTTGATAACCGACACTAAAGGTGAATTTTTCATGTTTTGAAGGATTACTTCATTGAAAAAGCAATTCCTTTATCAAATATAATATCAGTAGCTACAGATGGATCACCTGCCATGGTTGGACGTTATCGTGGATTTATGAGCTATTTAAAACAAAATGTGTCAGGGGCGTTAGCAATACATTGCGTCATCCATCGACAACATTTAGTTGCTAAAAATTTTAGTGTTAGATTGCATGAATCACTTCATTTAGTCATTGATGCAGTAAACCGAATCCGAAGCAACGCGTTGAATACGCGGTTATTTGCGCAATTGTGTGAAGAAAATGACGAACACTTTCATCAATTACTCCTTCACACTGAAGTACGCTGGCTGTCGAAAGGCTTATGTTTGACAAGATTTTTTGCACTTTTTGGGACTATTTTAGAATTTCTGGATACTAAAGATAAAATTTTAAAAGAACATTTAATGAAGAGGAAAACAGACATCGCCTATTTAACAGATTTGTTTACAAAATTTAATATGGTTAATTTGCAATTGCAAGGCGACAGTTGAAATTTGATTAACACAAAGTCCATCTTATCAGCGTTTCTTGCCAGAGTTAAACTAATGAAGCAAAATATTGGACGGGGCGAATTTTCTCAGTTCCCCAATTTGTCACAAACAAGCTGCCAGGAAGACGACGTTTCAACTTACGTTCAACATTTAAATGCCCTCTATTCAGATTTTGAATCTAGGTTTGAGGATATTTTGACTATGGTAATACCATCATGGATAATTAATCCATATGGTGACATAGAAGAAACGAATGTCATAATACAAGAGAAACTAACTGAACTAAGTACAAACGAAGAACTTAAGGTTCAGTTTAAAAACGGATATCAGCAATCCTGGCTGCAAAACAACATACCCGTATTATGGAATATAGCGAGGAAATTTTTAATTTCCTTTCCATCGTCATACCTAGTGGAAAGGTGGTTCAGCGCTGTTACCAATCTCCTAACGAAAAAAAGAAACAGACTGGACATCATTAGCCGAGGAGATTTGAGATTAACCCTTACAAAATTGACGCCAAATGTTGATAATTTATTATTAAAGCATCAGGTTCATCCTTCTCACTAAAAATATTGACTTATTGCTTATGTTATTTTATTTATAGTTTATTTTATGTTTATTGGTGTCTGACCAATAAATGCGCGCATTGGGAATAAGTGCCCGCATTGATTTTTCTAAAGAACCCCCCTTTATAGAAAATATTTTTTTGTTTAAATTATTCTGAAAATTCAAGGATAGGTCCACACTAATATTCGTTAATTTTTTGCCTATTTTTAGACAACTTAAACGTATAAGAAGCGGAATTTAATCAAACTAACAGTGAAATTATTGTATAACATACGTTTATGTTATAATTAATAAACGAACTCGCTTATTGTACTATTTTAAGTAAAAAACTTTTTTTTATTATTTTTCACTTTTTTTGATTTTATCCCTCTTATTTTTTTTTCAATGCGGGCACTTATTTCCAATGCGGGCAGTTATTGGTCAGACATCTGTTTATTTAATGTTACGTATATTTTACATAACAGATACAAAATTTTATTATGAGTAGTTTTAATTTAAATTCAGTTAATAAATGTATAAATTAACATGTGTTTTTACTTTAAGTTTTTAACACTAAACTTCACTACAGTTAGAAATTTACAGGAAATCAATATCAGGTAAGTAGGGGGTCTACCCAACACGGAAAAACATGGCAAGGGGTCTACGACACAAAAAAGTTTGGGGAACTCTGCTGTAGAGGGATATACCTGCTACAATTTATGAAAATCCGCATACATTCATTTAATAGAACTTGTCTCCTTTGCTTTTGCTCATTTGTACATATAATCAAAAGTGATGCACAATAAGTAAAATGAGGAAAAATTATTGTATTGTACCTTTCTGCACCAGAGACTTAGATTCTCACAAATTCTACGAAAATACCCGATCTTTTTGCCTAATTTCCAATACATATACGAGCCCCTTCCCACTTCAGTTGGCTCAACTATTGAAATCTTAGTTTTTTTATTATCAAACACAAATAATAAAAATGTAGCAGGGTGTTATATGTTTAAAATATTAACAATGGATATTTTGATAATATATAGTAGAAAACACCAACTTTATCACTCCCTAATCAAATTTGCAGCATAAAAATAACACGTGTTGCAATTACAGCATATCAATGCAAAATAAGTCTATAACGCATGGGTGGCTGTGAAAAATAAAAGCCATGACAATTGTTTTTATTAATCACAGCTGTCAGAATACGTTTGAAATAGTTTTGGGTAGTTAAGGTTTTCTAAATGGGTAGAGGAAAGGTTATTAGTGAGAAAATTCGGTTACTGATAATTAAATTTTTTAATTCTGGGAAATCAAACTCAGAAATTGCAACTTTTTTAGACTTAGCGCGGTACAGTGTGAGAAATATTGTTAGAAGATATAACGTAACTGGCTCAGTTAATATTAAGCCACGATATGTGAAAAAAAGTAATATCACAAATGCCGACCGAAGAGCATTAAGAAGAATAAGCGTAAAAAACAGGCGTGCCAATTATTTACAATTAAGTGCTCTGTGGAGTGACGCTGTTGGAAGGAGAATTTCGAGGTCCACAACTCATAGAGAGGCCCACAAACTGGGATTTAGCACTTGCAAGGTAAGTTTTCTTATAACAAAAAGTGAAGTAAAAACCGTAAAGTTGCACAACTTGTTTATAGGCCAAAGAAAAGCCACTATTAACTCCACTGCAAAAGAAGAGTCTTCTTAGATGGGCTAAAGAACATAGACAATGGACACCTCAACAATGGTGTGCAATACAATGGAGTGATGAGGCCCGATTCGAAGTTTGTGTTGGTAACAGTCGCAGTAGAGTTATTCGCAAAAAAAATGAAGCATTCCATGTTGACTGTCTAAAGAGAAAAGTGAAATTTCCAGCATCCATTATGGTCTGGGGCAGTATCTCATCAAAAGGAGTAGGAAAACTCCATTCTATTGATGAAAATGTGGATACAAACAAATATTTGGCAATTTTAGAAGAATCGCTTTTACCAGTGATGGAAGAATGTTTGACATCCGGCCAAGATTTTGTGTTTCAGCAAGATGGTGCAGCGTGCCATACCTCAAAAAAGGCTATAAAATGGATGGAAGAAAATTATGTACCACTTTTGAAATGGGTTTCTAGCAGTTGTTGTTGAGTTTGTCGTTGTTATTGTTATACCTTGTTATTGATTGTTATTGTTATCAACTGCTTGCGCAAAATGCCCACTACTACAGATACTGCCGATGAAGTTGTAAACCTAGGACACGCTCTAAAAAAAGACACCTGAGTGCAGAAATGAAAGAGGTCATTTTGAATATATATAAGATCGAGCGCGAGTTGAACGAGGCATCAACCATCAAAGAAATTGTTGTGAAGGTTTCTTACAAAGTTGGGGTGTGTCGCGCATCAGTGTTTAATGTGTTAAGACAATACAAAAAAAATCACACCTGTTCTGAGCCAATGACCAGTAAACATCGCAAAAGTATTGTTAAATCATTGGATGAAGCTGATAAGCATGCGATTAGGAGGAAAGTGCATGAATTCTCCTTTAGGAATGAAATACCTACTATAGATAAAGTACTGCAGGAGGTAAATGGAGATACAACGTTGCCAAATTTCAAACGATCAACTTTCCATGCGTTACTGAAGCATTTAAATTTCAAATGAAAAAAACGGGGTCGTAATAGTTTACTACTGGATAGAGAAGAAATTGTGCTATGGAGGAGGGATTATTTAACAAAAATTGGGAAATATAGAAATTAAAACAGGAAGATTTATTACCTTGATGAAACGTGGGTAAACGCAGGACACACTACAAGTAAAGTATGGGTTGATGATTCTGTAACTTCATCCAGGAGGGCCTTTCTAGATGGACTGTCCACCGGATTAAAAAATCCAGCAGGTAAATACGAGTAATAGACAACAATCGGATGTTTTTCAAACCTGGGGAACAAGGTTCTAAACATATTACAAGTAACAAAACTTTTATAACTTTCGATAAAATGCGTGGATGTTTTATTGTCATTTTCATTTGTTAGAACTTTTTTAAGCCATGTTTTTATGTGTTTTCGATATTTCAATAATTTTTTAATATAATCTTAAAATATGTCGAATATTATAAACTTAAAAAAAGTTACTAAGTTTTATATTGTGTACCGTTCCTAATATTTCTAATCATTTTAATTCATACTTTAAGCTTTATAAAGTTATAATTTGTTAATATTAATATTTGCGCGTATTTCAGGTTCCTGATCATTCATTTTTTAGAGGTTTATAACTTTAAATTAAATTGTGAAGCGCTGAGTAATCATACGACGTTCAATATTCTTTCTTTCAATATGACTAAAAAATCCCAATTATAGCAATCTGATACTCATGTCTCAATGTTTTTTCGCTGAATGTGATGAAAACATTTGAAAAAGGTTCGCTTATTGAAATAAATCTACACCAGTTAGTACTTCGATTTCCAGGTAAAAGGAAAAGGCTCATTATCTGCCATATTGGCAGTGAGGATGGATTTGTTGTTGACGGTCTGTGGTGCTTTGAGTCTAAGAAAACTGGAGATTACCACGAGGAAATGAATGGCGAATCGTTTGAACAGTGGTTTTCAAAAATTTTGCCGAACTTAGAGGAAAACGCAGTAATTGTATTGGATAATGCGCCTTATCATTCTCGAAGAATGGAGAAGGTCCCAACAACGGCTTCAAGGAAAGTTGATGTTCAAAATTGGCTCCGCTCGAAAAATATCAACTTTGAAGAAGCAATGCTGAAAGTACAATTATTAAGAATTGTCAAGGATCACAAGGCGGAATATCAAAAATACGCCATTGACGAAATGGCAGCAAGTCAAAATAAAACTGTGTTCCGTTTACCTCCATACCATTGCGAGCTCAATCCCATTGAGCTCATATGGGCAGAGGTTAAAAATTATATAGCTAAGCACAATACAACTTTTAAATTTTGTGACCTCAAAGGACTTTTCAAAGAAGCACTAGAATTAATAACAGCGCAAAAATGGGAAAACTGTATTAAGCATGTGAAAGACAAAGTTGAAAAGAGAATGTGGGAACTGGACAATATTTTAGAGGAACAAGTCGAGCCATTCATTATTGACGTTGGTGCTTCAGGCAGTAGCGATGATGAAAGCTCATCAAGCTCATCTTTCCAATAAAAGATGTCGTTCATCAAATTCGGTAAGTTATAAGTAATTATAAAGCTACTGTATTTTTTAATTAATTATTGACATTTTTGAACCCATTTTGGCAAAACCTATTCAAGAATCTACTTTCTGACAATGTTCAACCATGCACATTTTTTTACGTTTTGAACGTTTTAACTTGGTTACATATTTACCTAGAAATCAAAAAATATAGTAATCAATATTCTAAAAGCAATTTTAAGAGATATACGATTATTTTTAGTTTAGGCTAATTTAAACGCCATTTTGAGATTATATTCGACTGTATTTCACCAAACATCAGGCGGCATCCGAATCTGGAAATCGAAGCGAAAATTTTGAAACCCTTATGTATATTTACATCATTATATATTTCTTACCACACCCCCACATGATCCTATATCCATCACCAATCGTATACACATCGAATTGTGCTAATTTACTACAAAGTTACGCAAAGCAGCATCTACTATCTAAAATATGTACTGCGTGACTCTTAATACGTCCCTGCCGAATGTTACAGCGTTCGATGATCACGTGGTCTTGTTTATGTCCGGTCTATCTCTTATCTGAATATACTGTAGACTTAAATACTTACTTTGTGACCTCTTGAAGCTAGCTTTTTCCATATTGGCCAAAGGGCAGTCTGGTGACTATAAGACGGAGTCGGTACAAGCCCTAAGATTCGCGCACCGCTTGTGAGAGCCAGCAGACTCAAAAAAGTTATCAACCACATACTTTGTTGAACTATATCTCCGTTCTCACTGATACGTATCAAAAAAGGTCGCCTGTAGCATGTAGTGATTGCTTAAAAAATATTCAGGTTATCTTCGTTAGTTCATTAGCGTCGGAATGATTTTTTTTTCATGTTCGTTTGATGTCATTAAGAATTTGTTTGTGTTTGTAATTTTTTTTTTATATATCGAAACAGCCGCGCAGGCAGAAGCCTAAATGCCGGAACACCGCGGCTGCTATGATGATCCCAAAGAAATTTTGTTAATACGATTTTTGAACTGCCTAAGGTTAGTAGAACTGGGAAAAGCTTCCTCCCGTAGATTGTTCTACAATCTAGACACCCTCGGGACAAAGGAGCGGTCGTATCGGCCAGTTCTGGATGTACAAAGTTTGACACGGTTAGGATGGGACGCCGAAGTCAGGCGGGTCTGTCTGGAAGGCACATCGCGCGGCGGCATCATGGAAGAGAGCTCTGAGGAGCAAAGCCCGTTGGTGTAGCGATAGAAAAGAGCTAGATCGCCGACGGCGCGCCGGTGCGAAAGAGTCCCGAGACTGTCTGTTAGGGAAGAGTCATCGATCAGTCGGACCGCCCTCCTCTGGACAGCATCGAGCATGGACAATGTAGTCGGGGCGGCAGCACCCCAAATGTGTGAGCAATACTCGAGGCTAGGCCTTATCTGGGCCTTGTATAGAGTGAGAAGGTCATGCGGAGAAAAGTACTTCTTAGCCCTAAACAAATAGCCTAGCTTTTTCCCAGCAGCTGCAGCTATTGAAGAGATGTGTTCATGCCAGATCAGGTCCTCGGTGATCTGGACTCCGACCAGCCGAAATGAATGGCTCTTTGGTAGAACTCGACCGTCCATCGAAACTGTATGAGCGCTAGGACGCTTTTTGTTCGTCAAAGTACAGTACTGTGTTTTGGAAGCATTGCACTGTACAAGATTGTTGCGTCCCCAAGCAGTGATAGCCTCCAGGTCTCTTGTCAGAGAAGAAGTCGTCGCTAGTCTTCTTTTTTCCAGCTCAGCGGCAGAGATCGGCTTGTCACTCTGAATCCCTGCATGCAGAGTGCTGTCATCAGCGAAGCTGTGGATTGGGTTGATCGTGCAGGAAAGGAGGTCGTTGATATGTAAGAGAAACAGTGTTGGAGCCAAGACCGACCCTGGGGAACACCCGCGTTGACGTTGTGGGATGAAGAGGAGAATCCGTCAATTACGACGGATATCTTGCGGTCAGAGAGAAAGTCAGCCACCCATCTGCAAAGCTTTTCTGGGAGGCCGTAGGATGGAAGTTTGCTCAAGAGGGCAGCGTGCCACAGCTGATCGAACGCTTTCGTGTTGTCAAGAGCAACGACATGAGCCTCACCATGAGACTGGATGAGTTTACTCAACAGTTGCGTGACGTAAGCTAGGAGGTCCCCTGTGGATCGTTGGTGCCGGAAACCGTACTGCCTGTCGCTAATCAAGCTGTGACGTTCGAGGTAGTCCAGAAGTTCGCGATTTATGCACCTCTCCATCACTTTACTTATAACAGAAAGCAGTGCTATAGGCCTGTAGTTGTAAGGGTCGGTTTTAGATCCTTTTTTTGGGATGGGCTGTACATGAGCAAATTTCCAGTTTTCTGGGAAGGTGCCGGATTCATAAGATATCTGGAAGAGACGCGAAAGAACTGGAGCAAGCTCAGCTGCACATCTCTTCAGTACAATGGCAGGAATCAAGTCCGGACCAGAAGCTTTGTTGGTGTCGAGCGACAAGAGCACTCGTCTTACGGTCTTATGCCTGAATGTTACCTCCCGCATAGTGTGGGGAACCCTTTGAATTGACGGCACTTGGGCGTTGGTGGGGACGTCCATGGTGGAGTTGGCAGCAAAGATCTTGGCTAGCACTTCCGCCTTGGCCTTTGAGTCGAATACAATAGTTCCATCCTGACACGTAAGTGGTGGAAGGCTACTGTGTGAGAAGTTCTTTTCAATCTGCTTGGCCAGCGTCCAGAAAGACCGACTGCCATTGCGCTGCGACATTACCCTGTGCCTAACTTTTATATCATGCTGGTTTTTGGCATTGCGAACCGCTTCGTTATATTTGTTTCTGGACTCGACGTCGGCGTGTCTGTTCTCTACAGTGGGGTTTTGTAAGTAGGTTCTGTGGGCCTTGATCTTCTGCTGGCGAGCAGTGTCACACGATTTGTTGAACCAGCCGTTGGACCCTGGTTTAGGAACTTTCACTGTGTGAGGGATGTATTCCTCCATTCCGACGTGGATAATTTCGGTTATTGAAGAACAGACAGTCGACGCATCCGCGTCAGTGAAACAGACATCTCTCCAAGGAAAGCTAGAGAAGAAGTCTCTGAGCCCCTCCCAGTCGGCATGTCCGTAATGCCAAGTTTTGCGACCTGTGCGAGTTTCTGCTGCCACAGCGGCTTCTGACCGAAACCTAACCTCCACAACACCGTGATCTGAGTTACCCAGGGGGGACAGGACAGCAGTGCTGTAAGGGGCAGGATGCGTGGTCAGAAAGAGATCCAGCAGGCTACTGGAGTGTGACGAGAGCCGGAGGAAAAAAGTAGGGCTCGTCACCAGCTGGGTCAGCCCTAGAGTAAGAGCGAACGCTTCGACTGCACGACCTGCTGCATCGGTCTTATTTGAGCCCAACCAAAGCTCATTATGGGCATTGAAATCACCGAGAAGAACTACCTCTGAAGCGGGGTGATTGATGTTCAGGAAGTCGATCTGGACGGCGAGGTATTCGAATAGGTCTTCCCAGTTATGGTTCGAGGGAGAGCGATAAAGGCAGCAAATAAATTTGGGTGATGTTTTGGAGTTGAGGCGAAGACACAGAATGTCCTTCCGGTCTGATTCCAAAGAAATATCCCTGGAGCAGGAAAGACTGCTGCGGACAAAAGCCACAACTCCCCCGTTCTTTCTCAGATTGGAGTGCACCTCGTAGTTTGGGAAGTTGAGATGGTTAATCGGTGCAGTCTCTGAGATTTTTGTCTCCGCCAAGAAAAGCACGGCGGGACGATTGGATTGCAGGTAGTGATGAACAGCATCAATGTTGCTGTTGATCCCGCAGATGTTCGAAAAACAAATTTTATCTTCGATGTTGTTCCCTCGAGCCCACCCTCCACCCGGACATTCCGAGAGTGGAGTGAGTTTACGTCCGGAGTTTTTAGTGCTCGAGGGATCCATCATCATTAGTTTCTTTGTTTTGGTAGATAACCGACTGCATAGCTTAGGTGTGGAAACATGCGGACATTTATAAGACACCCTGGGAAAAGCTAGCGGGTGGTACTGCCTCGGTCGACTGGTCCTTGTCTACCACCTTCTTTTTACGTGTTAGTGATGTTGAATAGACCTAAAGTGGCCCGTTGGCGGACTTGTACCGCCACCCGGCAATCGGTACTGAGGTATTCCTTAACGCGTGCACAATCACTTGGACGGGAAGAAGTTGTATACTGGATACAACAACTTCCGGAACAAGCATTTGCCACGGCCCTCGCTCAGTAGTGCTTACTCCTATTTTATTTATTTATTTGTTTATTATTTATTATCTCAATTACTGTTTTAATTAACTACCTGTTCTTTTTTGCATATCGCATACTTATGTATTGTATATGTAATGTTGACAAGTCTTATGTCATAGCTATTTATGACCAAAAGACAATAAAGACTATCTATCTATCTGTACGAGTTCATTTAGTATAAGCTCCATCATACAGGGTGGGTCATAATAAAACAATGCAAGTGAAAGCAGGTTATATCTAGAAGAGGTTACTATGTTTTGGAAATGATAGCATCAAGTTGCTGTTGACATTGCCGCCTTTTCGTATCTGATGCTTTATGCTTCAATTCGTTGAGGGTTTTTGGATTATCATTGTAGACTCGACTCGTGAAATATACCCATAAAAACAAATCGTGTGGGGATAAGTCAGTGCTTTGGGTGGCCAATCATTGTCACCTCTCCTCGATATCACTTTGCCAGAGAACATTACTCGTATGATCACGTTGGACGTGTGTCAGGTGGTGCTATCCACACTTTGTAAGGTCAGTGTACTTTAATTCTTGCACGATTTGAATCCTATATGGATGAAGTTTCAAGCTACGCTACATTCGTCTTCAACTCGTACGAGCAATACTCATAGTCGCTGAGCGTCTACGAGTTGACAACTTTAGATCGACTCGAATAGATTAACTCAATTCCTCCATTCTTTGATCACTTGCACAGTTCATGAGCGACCTTGACGTCTTGTTGGCGATTGAAGGCGCGTTGTTGCCCCGTGAATGATTCATGGCTACAGAAAATGCAATCGAACAGTACCGCCCTCCAATGTGTCCGCCCACGTTTTGCGGTTTTATTTAAGAAACAAAAGTGAATTTTACAACAGAGAGATCGTGTTGTGTACCGTATTCTACCTGAGGAAAGCCAACCTAATGCTATATTTTCGCGTTCAACCAGTTAACCGAGATGAAATAACATACCGTAGCGTCATCTATGAGAACTTGTCACAGTTAGGGCCAATTTCACCAATATTAAAATTTAGATGTAATATTATGTCTTTGTGCTTTAGAATTAGGATAACTTTAATAGAATTTCAAATATTTATCATTTCTCAAAAGATAAAAGATACCGAAAAATCCGGTTAAAGTCCATGCATAGACAATTCTGAAATTTGAAATATGAATTTATATCCTAAATTCTATGCATATCCGTTCATATTCGTGAATAGCACCCGGAATGTCCGGGTGGAGGGTGGGCTCGAGGGAACAACATCGAAGATAAAATTTGTTTTTCGAACATCTGCGGGATCAACAGCAACATTGATGCTGTTCATCACTACCTGCAATCCAATCGTCCCGCCGTGCTTTTCTTGGCGGAGACAAAAATCTCAAAGACTGCACCGATTAACCATCTCAACTTCCCAAACTACGAGGAGCACTCCAATCTGAGAAAGAACGGGGGAGTTGTGGCTTTTGTCCGCAGCAGTCTTTCCTGCTCCAGGGATCTTTCTTTAGAATCAGACCGGAAGGACATTCT